AGTAGTAAGGCCCCTCACTGTATCAGAGTAATAATGTCCCTCACTGTATCAGAGTAATAACGTCCCTCACTGTGTCAGAGTTATAATGTCCCTCACTGGGTTAGAGTAGTAAGGTCCCTCACTGGGTCAGAGTGATAATGAAACTCACTGAGGCAGATGAATAATGTCCCTCACTGTGTCAGAGTAATAACGTCCCTCACTGTGTCAGAGTTATAATGTCTCTCACTGGGTTAGAGTAGTAAAGTCCCTCACTGTGTCAGAGTAATAATGTCCCTCACTGTGTCAGAGTAATAATGTCCCTCACTGTGTCAGAGTTATAATGTCTCTCACTGGGTTAGAGTAGTAAAGTCCCTCACTGTGTCAGACTAGTAAGGTCCCTCACTGGGTCAGAGTAGTAAGGCCCCTCACTGTGCCAGAGTAGTAAGGTCCCTCACTGGGTCAGAGTAATAATGTCCCTCACTGTGTCAGAGTAATAATGTCCCTCACTGTGTCAGGTATATTACAAAGACGAATATGTCCAGTTATTTAGATTTTTACCTTTTTAAAGGTCACTTTATGATGCTGCGTATCAGCAAAACAAAGGACATTTCTAAAGCACAGTCATACAGGATACGATTAAAAGAACTCTACAGCAATGCCGGAGGCAGAAATGTTTAAGATACAAAATATAGCAATATGAAATAAAGTCAAAGAAGACTAGGTGAAGGGTCGATGCTGAACCGTTTTCGTGGTATAATTAAGAAATTAGGACGGTATAATATCGATATACTGCTACAAATAGCTGAATATAGTAGGGTTATGTATTAAGTCATATAATCTATAAATGTTTTCCAAAATCTGACGGATATGTTATATGAAATATATCCGAAAGAAAACTTAAAAATTCTATGGTATTAATTTATTTCTTATCGGAATTTCAAGTCGATATGTAACAACAATGACAGAGAAGGTGTCGAAAAAGCAATACATTGGGTACCCCAGCAACAATACGGACGGGAAAAGGTACCGTGGGTGTTCATTTAAAAAGAGAAACCAATGTACCATACCGACTTAACGAAGACTCTTATTGAACTCAACATGGATACTACCAAAGCAGAAGGAAATAAATCCCAAATTCCATAGAAAAGTTCATGTTCTTTAGTGATACATGTAACAGTTTGTTATACAATCGTACCCACAATGAAACCGTAGCATTCAGCTTAACTGCTTTAGTGATCTGGCATTTTAACGCAGTTTGTAAAATGTAAAACGAACGTCAGGCTATTATCAGACTCGAAACATTAGATGTAGTGGTAAATCCACCGTGAACGATATAATTTGAATTGGGACCTCCGCCAGTTGTCTCTCTCTCCATGACTACTGTAATCTATATACCATTGTAACTCATAGGTTAGAATAGTGCAACTCGACTTGCTTTCGAGTCGGAATTCCTGTTGTGTGTCCCCATCTCATACTGTGACGTATCAGAACAGGTATTTCGGAAAGTAGCCGCCACTTGAGGTATCGCCTCCCACCTTTTACCACAAAGTCGTAATTGCTAGCTACTATCTCGAAGAGTGTAAATTTGAAAATATAAAGAACATGTGCTTTTGACGTTTTGAATGCTTGCTGAACACTATGTACTGTATGTATTGTAATGTGCCTTAGATTACCTTCTTGGCCCACTTGTATAACACATCTCAACTCTTGATATTTCCTCAAGTCTAAGATTTTCCATAGACAATAATTGCTTGAGATTTTCCTTAACTCTGAGATGTTTTATTATAATCCTATCATTTGTTTGGTCACAAATGGATTTTATTTTATTGTTCTTTTTAATTAGGGCAAAAATACACATTGAGGTCAAAAGTCAAGGTCAAGTCAAGGTCAAAAGTAAGGTCATTATGTTCAATGGTCAAGGTCAAATTTTGTATCTTTACACTGGTGAACATTTTGAATCAGAATTAAAAAAGGCGTCAACCTGACCAAATGTCAAGGTCATTGGGTCAAAGGTCAAGGTTAAATTTTGTATTTTTACACTGGTGAACATTTTGGTATGACAATTCGAAGCGATGATGCTCAGAATTAAACAAGGAGTCAATTGACCAAAGGTCAAGGTCATCGGGTCAGGGGTCGATGTCAAATTTTGTAGCTTTTCACTATTGAGCATTTTATGAAATTATGAAGCAAAGTTGTTCGGAATTAAACAAAGAGACACCCTTAGGTAAAAAGTGGAAGTCAAAGGTTAAGGTCATTAGTTTCAAAGTTCAAGGTCATATTTTGCATCTTTTCACTGATGAATATTTTGGTAGGACATGATGAAGCAAAGTTGATAAGAATTAAACAAGGAGTCAACCTGACCAAATGTCAAGGTCACTGGGTCAAAGGTCACGGTCAAATTTTGTATCTTTTCCCTGATGAACATTTTGTTATGACTTTATATAGCAAAGTTGGTCGGAATTTAACAAAGAGTCTACTGAATTAAGGTCAAGGTCACTCGGTCAAAGGTCAAGGTAAAAATTAGTATTCGTTTGCTGGTGAATCTTTCATTATGACACTCTGACGCAATGTTTGTGGGAATTAAACAAGGAGTCATTTGACCAAAGGGCAAGGTCACTGGGTCGAAGTTCAAGGTCAAATTTTGTATCGTTTCACTGATGAACATTTTGATATGACATTATGAAGCAAAGTTGGTCCAAATTTAAAAAGAAGTCAACTGTTTTAAGGTCAAGGTCACGTGGTCAATGTCAAGGTCAATTATTGTATCTTTTTACTGATGAACCTTTTTTTTGTTATTATGTAGCAAACTTGTTCAGAACTTGACACAGAGTCAACTGACCTTAGGTCCAGGTTACGGGGTCCAAAGGGTCAAGGTCAAGTTTTGTAATTTTCACTGATGAACATTTTGTTATGATATTATGAAGCAAAGTTGGTCGGAATTAAAGAATAAGTCAACTGACCAAAGATCAGGGTCACTGGGTTAATGGGCAAGGTCATTTGGGTACAAAGCTCAAAGACAAATTGGATCTCTGACTTTGACCCTGGCTCTAGATGGAGGATGTATATAAGGTGAAATAAAACAAATCAAAGCTAACAAATAAGTATTGCACCGGGATTTACATTTCTGTTAGCCCAGCAAATATGGAGGTGGAAGGAAACAAGACTCACATCATAGTACATGTAAAATGTATATTTTGCTTCCTTGCGATTCTTTTTGAAGTCCAAATGTCAATCGTCGCGCTCAGCTATATGGGCAGATTGCTTCTTGATAATTATGGGGGATATATTGCCACAAGACGGGGCCCTTACTGACCTGTCAGTGTTCTAGTTTTCATTGATTTTTTTGTTTTATTGTTCTTTTTAATTTTCATTGATTTATTGATTTATTGATTTTTGTTGCCTTCATTAACGTAAAAAGTCATAAATGGATATATATGATATTAACATGTATACGAATGGATTGTTTGTTGTCTATGAGTTTTATTTACCTACACATGTTGTTTTCCTGTTTTTACCGGCAGATATCAGGACAGGAGGTAGCGCATGCTCGGTAGGTAACAACTTCCCCTCGGTACACCTGTCTTCACTTGTTTTTATTGGGAAGTGTATAACGCTATAGTTTGTTTTTTAAAATATTGTCTGTTTTATTCCGGTTATTTATTTTACCTTGACTTCTGATTCAGTCCTTCAGTGTTATAGTTGTTATTGTTTTTTCCTTGAATGTTGATGTTGTTGTATTTCGTACGTGTATATTGACGTTGAGGTTGATTTTGAGTTTGTGTTAAATTTTGTGATATATATTAATTTTTGTCCTTGTATTCCGAAGCTGATTTTTCTTGTGTATTGAACTATTGGTATGTTTTCTTTAGTGTTGACGTTATGGTTTATTACAGCCTTGTGTGTTAAACTGTCGAATAGTTTGTCCTTGTGAGCTGAAGATGGACTGTTTCTGTTTCTATTTTAAAGATTGCCCGAAAGCACATTGACTCAACAATACGCTACTGACAGTGGTTGCCAGCGCGCTCATGGTACAGTATATTATAGATTTTCAAAAGAAGGATTGCCAATGCATTGATTCATTTCGGTAAGACAGTTTTTGTTCTGGTATCGGATTTTACAGAAGAGTGAGTCACGTGTGCCTCTTTATAATATATTGGTCAAATTGGACCCCGGGATCTTATTTAGTCAGAAAACATTCGAAATAAGCAGGAACTCAATTACGCAATGAATAACAGAGAACATATAAAGATTATCATACTTTGGAGATATTCCTCAAAATTTCGCAGTGGGTATAGATATACATGTACATGTGTATACTATTTTACATTAGCGTTTTAATTAACAATACTATGCCAATTTAAAAAGCGCACACGCAAAAAATCATTCACTCTCCAAACATGGCAAACCCGAATGTCTTAACAAGTCTGACACGAGCTATCAATACGATCACAACGTAATATAGCTCGATGTAAGGTGACGTATCTGATAAGAACAAAAGCAACGACTTGATAAACAATACAAACTGGTAAGGAGCGATTCCCCATTGGCTGATCTACAGCCATGTGATCCGACAGTTTGGCCTTTAAGTATCGCAATGCTTTGTACAAATTGTGAGTGTGTCTCAAGTCTTCAGAGCTGTTTGTTAGACGGTAGGTGCCAGCGGCTATGACGGGGGGATATCTTAACGACAGCGGATAAGAAACGCGAAGGTGCCGTCTATGAGAGAAGTACTGTCCATGGATTCATCTGGTAAGAAAGGAAGGAATGAAATATAATTCATGATCGTAAGCCACGAGCTAGTCCGCCTACATTTTTTTCCTTAATGAAAACAAATTGGACACGAGCTTGAGGAAAACATGAATGAACCTAGCTTCCAAATACGCTAATTTGGTTGTAAACTAGAAACGATCGATATGGGACTCGGGGGCCCGCGGCACGTGTGAATGGTAATACAGACACTGGATTATGACACTATTGAAGATTGCTACTGAGTAAAAGGTTCGACACTGATTTTTGCTCTCATGGCCAATTTACCTAGCGTTGTGATAAATAGCAGCTGGGCGCTGTCTGGAGACGTATCGTACCAGGGAGTCATCAATGACACACACGGCCAGCGGAATGACAGCATGGCAACTGTTTCCGAGGTCATCAACTACGGTATTATAGTGTTCGGAGTTTTTGTTATCACTGCCACGATACTAGGAAACAGCTTGGTAATATTAGCCATAATTGTTGATAAAAAGTTACGACGTGTTGGAAACATATTTATTGTGAACTTAGCAGTGAGTGATATTTTAGTTGGTGCTATTGTCTCACCTCTCTCACTCGTGTATCAGATAACGGGTGAATGGCCCTTTGGACGGCAACTATGTGACCTTTGGATCTCTGTTGATATCATTTGTTGTACAGCTAGTATACTCAATCTTTGTGTAATTAGTTATGACCGTTATAACGCTATATCACAGCCCCTGAAATATGCCAAACACAGGACTACACGACGGGCGCTTACACTGGTCACCCTAGTATGGCTGTACTCGTGTTGCATTGCATTGCCTCCCTTACTCGGTTGGAGTAAACCTACGGAAATGACCTCACACGGCCTCAACAATTGCCAAGTCACTCGCCATGTGGGATATACATTTTATTCAACGATAGGAGCATTTTACTTGCCATTGTGTATAATGGTATGTTTTTATGCCCGTATATTTGTGGTTACTAGCAGCAGGGGCAAGCAATGGGTACGAGGTCCAGGTTCGAGTTGTAGGTTCCAGCGCCGACGATCTCGCAACAAACGAGACAACGAAAACAGTAAGGTGGTGTGTTGTTTGCCTTGTCCCTGTCGATCTAAGCAGGAAAATGAAAGTAGTAAATCTGTTACAACTCAGACAGATCGCTCCAATACTCGAAACTCTTCTCTGTCATCCAGCATTAGAAGAAGTACCTTTGATTATTCGTCCACGGTTCAGTCCGATCTCCATCGTAAGGCCGTAATGTTCTCCCCACGTGCTAGTACGGCTAGTACAAGTACTGGGGATGTCGTGCTAGAGATTACACAGGGACGTAGAAAACAGACAATTCATCGTCGATTGTACCGACAAATCTCAAATCCGAACAGTGATTCAAGTTATACCACATCAACGACGACGTCGACCACTGCTGAAACGTCGTTCTCGGAATCCTCGTCTGCTGGTTCAGACACACGGACTTCAAGACGCGCTTCAAACGTCATTTATAACTTATTAGCTGCTAACATTATGGCTGCAGAGATTCTGCGGGATAGTGTAAAAGGAGTACAATTTGCGCCTCAACATCGTTCGCCTTTACTCATAGAGGAGGAAATAAGACCGGAACCGTTGATTCCTAAAGAAACTGTGCGCGCAACTCGCCGGAAGCGGAAAAACGTATCACTTCCTCACGAAAAACGTGCTGTTAAAACATTAGGAATTGTTGTTGGTTGTTTTATTTTCTGTTGGCTCCCTTTCTTTGTCGTAACGATTATTGTTCCCTTGTGCCAAAATTGTAACGTGAGCCCAATCGTGACCGGTATAGTGCTATGGTTAGGCTACTGTAACTCAGCCTGTAATCCTATTATATATACCTTCTTCAACGAAGATTTTAGACGTGCCTTCAAAAAACTGACCACATGCGGAAAAGCAGTGTCGTCACCTATATATTTATGAGGAATTTCTGTTTGGAGAAAACTATTTATTACATATTTTTGACGATGTGCTGGAAGGAGATGACGGTTAGTGCTGCAATAATTTTAACATAATTACCAAATTAGTGTATACATTTACATAACAATAGGCTTTGTTTTACAATATAGCCTTTATGTATATCGCTATGTAGGAAAAGCTTCGGTACTAATGAAACAACATGCACACGTGTGATATAGTGTAGGGGATGTGGTGCAGTGCTCTTACAAGTACATATACCAGTAACACGGAGACAATCCACTGTATAGATTTTTATAGAAACAGCATGTAAAGCTCAGATATACTGATCTTTGAAATAACGGCATCATATATTCTTAACAGAACGTGTCATTTACTCATTTCACCATTTTATTTTCGGATGTTGAAAAAATTTTCCGGGGTAAAACTTCCGTATAAATTATATGTGTCATTACATATATTTTTACAAAATATCACGGGTTCTTTTCCTTGCTTTGTTTATGTACCCGGTAAAATTAGCGTGATCATGAAGTATTCTTCTATTGGTTTTTTATTCGATAAGACATTAAAATGTTGGGTTTGTTTTCTCTTATTGGTGAAATAGCTTGAGTTGATCGTCAAAATGAATTATTAGAAAGACGAGAATGTGATTCAGAATGATTTTTCATTATAGATATACGATATTAATTTTAGATAGATTGCTTTATTAATGATCTTGTCAATTATGTGTTATTTATGATTGATTTTTTTCAACATGAAATTATATGATTTAATCCTATACCGGTAAAATTAGTTTATATGTATAATACAATATATTGGATAATCATTTAAATTGTTGTTATATTCATATACGTTAATAAGAATTTTGAACGCTTTTTGAAACAAGAACGATTTCTTTAAGCTGATATAATACTGATGTAAATATCGTTTATTTTATATAATGTTCGCCCGAAGCGTTATTTTTGTATACCTAGCGTTCACGAGTCATTCAACTACATACAGTATCATCTTTATACTTCTATATATTCCTAAATATGTTATACTTAAGGCTAGATGACGTTGTTTAGGCAGTGTAATAGCCACGCTTCTATATATTTATACGAATGTTTTGTATTTTGTAACAGGATGTGATACTAAGTGCATGGAATTGTTTTCTTCCCGTGATGGTTTTTGGTTTACAAAATAATACGAGTACGCCTGACTCATAAACAGTGGTATTTCTTACTCCGGATTCATTTTATATCCAATACACGTTACTCCAGAATCATTGTACATGTGTATATATATTGGTACTCCTTACTTCGGAATCATTGTATATACAGTGATATTCCTTACTCCGGATACATTCATATACCGTGGTATTCCTTACTTAGGATACATTGTATATATACAGTGGTATTCCTTACTCCGGACACATTATTTATACAATGGTACTCCTTACTCCGGATACATTGTACATACAGTGGTACTCCTTAATCCGGACATACTGTATATACAGTGGCATTCCTTTCTCCGGACACAATGTATATACTCCGAACACATTATATATACCGTGGTACTACCTATTCCGGATATATTGTATATAAGCATTTCTTTTTATTCTTTATTCATTGTATGGATACGGTTTGATACCTTACTCTGATTCAGTGTATTTAAAACACATCACGGAAAACTCCCTGTTAGACAGATAATGTAAAAGCCAATAATATTTATCTATTTGAATTCCATATGGAGATCCAATACATTGTATAAGATAAGGTCTGTCTTGCGCCATGTAATGTCACCTACATCTTGCCAAAGTTTTGCGACGTTATATATTTTGTCATCCTTCTGTCCCTATTTGATATTTGATAATATGTGATAGGTCTATTTTGTGATATGTTTAAGGATATCATGTTGTTATAGTTACACCGTCTCATAGTTTTCGTAAATATATTGAAATTAAAACATTCACACGTTTCCTAGTTATTAATTCCTATTATCAACATTAATAGTTGTTGCGAGTATTACATGCATATGATGGATTAGATTGCGAGATAATTTTAAGATGCTTTTTCTACGTATTAGCACGCAAGCTTCCTATGCTTTTTGGAATTTCATTTCATTGATTCGTTATTGTATGTATATATATGTCATGTAGACCATACAATTACGTGGTCAATGTTTTCTACAGGAGAGACTACAAAATACACTGGCATATTACTTTCACAACTGTGAGTTAAGTTCCATTGCCATGTATTGCTGTTAATTGACATCCTTTCCAGGATTTGATAGGAAATATATTAACGGATACATGACAGACGTACATTGCGGGTACCTGGTTCCTGTCCAGTTTGTTTCCGGTATGACGTCATTCCGTGTGCAGTAATGTCTCACCCGGTTACTGTTGCGTCTCTGTATCATCTCTGATTTCTGACGTTATGTTTGGATGATTATGACATTATAGATATATACTGTTAAAACATCTTGCCTAAATCATGCGTATCATACCAATTATGTGATATGTACGCTTTGACTAAACCCTTTAAAAATGTGTTGTAACATGAAATAACAAAGGACGATTTGTGAAACACACTTAGCGTGTCTGTGTTATTACAACAATTAATAGAAGCTTTTAAAAACAATAAAGCAGTAGATTTATAATGTCTGGTGGAACATTAACACGTGTAACGACAACTGATGGAACATTTACACGTGTAAAGATAACTAATGGAACATTTACACGTGTAACGATAACTTATATACCATCTGCACGTGTAACGATAACTGATGGAACATTTACACGTGTAACGATAACTGATAGAACATTGAAACGTGTAACTATAACTGTTATAACATCTACACGTGTAACGATAATTGATAGAATATTGACACGTAAAACGATAACTGATATAACATTGACACGTGTAACGATAACTGATAGAACATTGACACATGTAACGATAACTGCTGGAATATTGACACGTGTAACGATAACTGATATAACATCTACACGTGTAACGATAACTGCTGGAATATTGACAAGTGTAACGAATGATATGACATCTACACATGTAACGACGATAACTGATGGATCTTTGAAATGTGTAACGATAACTGAGATAACATCTACACATGTAACGATAACTGATGGAACATTGACACGTGTAACGATAACTGATATTACATCTACACGTGTAACAATAAATGATATGACATCTACACATGTAACGATAACTGATAGAACATTGACACGTGTAACGATAACTGATATTACATCTACACGTTTAACAATAACTGATATGACATCTACACAAGTAACGATAACTGATATAACATCTAGACGTGTAACGATAACTGAAATAACATCTACAAATTTAACGATAACTGATGGAACATTGACACGTGTAACGATAACTGATATAACATCTACACGTGTAACGATAACTGATATAACATCTACACTTGTAACAATAACTGATGGAACATTGTCACGTGTAACAATAACTGATATTACATCTACACGTGTAACGATAACTGATATAACATATACACATGTAACGATAACTGATATAACATATTCACATGTAACGATAACTGATATTACATCTACACGTGTAACGATAACTGATATAACATCTACACGGGTAACCATAACTGATATAACATCTACGCGTGTAATGATAACTGATATAACATCTACACGTGTAATGATAACTGATATAACATATACACGTGTAACGATAACTGATATAACATATACACATGTAAAGATAGGTGATATAACATCTAGACGTGTAACGATAACTGATATCACATCTACACATGTAAGGATAACTGATATAACATATACACGTGTAACAATAACTGATATAACATCTTCACATGTAACGATAACTGATATAACATCGACACGTGTAACGATAACTGATATAACATCTCCACGGGTAACGATAACTGATATAACATCTAAGCGTGTAATGATAACTGATATAACATCTACAGGTGTAACGATAACTGTTAAAACATCTACACATGTAACGATAACTGATATTACATCTACACGTGTAACGATAACTGATATAACATATACACATGTAACGATAACTGATATTACATCTACACGTGTAACAATAACTGATGGAACATTGACACGTGTAACAATAACTGATATTACATCTACACGTGTAACGATAACTGATATAACATCTCCACGGGTAACGATAACTGATATAACATCTACACGGGTAACGATAACTGATATAACATCTACACGGGTAACCATAACTGATATAACATCTACGCGTGTAATGATAACTGATATAACATCTACACGTGTAACAATAACTGATATGACATCTACACATGTAACGATAACTGATATTACATCTACACGTGTAACGATAACTGATATAACATCTACGCGTGTAACGATAACTGATATAACATCTACACATGTAACGATAACTGATATAACATCTACAGGTGAAACGATAACTGATATAACATCTACACGTGTAACGATAACTGATATAACATCTACACGGGTAACGATAACTGATATAACATCTACGCGTGTAATGATAACTGATATAACATCTACACGTGTAACGATAACTGTTAAAACATCTACACGTGTAACGATAACTGATATAACATCTACACGTGTAATGATAACTGATATAACATCTACACGTGTAACAATAACTGATGGAACATTGACACGTGTAACGATAACTGATATAACATTAAAACGTGTAATGATAACTGATGGAACATTACATGTAACGATAACTGATATAACATCTACACGTATAACGATAACTGATATAACATCTACACGTATAACGATAACTGATATAACATCTACACGTGTGACGATAACTGATATAACATCTACACGTGTGACGATAACTGATATAACATCTACACGTGTGACGATAACTGATATAACATCTACACGTGTGACGATAACTGATATAACATCTACACGTGTGACGATAACTGATATAACATCTACACGTGTA